ATTTGGAAAAAATAGGCCTCCATTTGTGGTTTTAGCTCCCGTGGGCTCTCTGATTGTGGCGGTTTTTTCCAAGAAAAACACAAGCACTACAAGCTCTGTACGGTACCTGTTCGAAATAAGCGATTCACGTTGGAACTGAATCGCTGGAGTTTGAATTCATTTGGAAAGTCAGGAAGTTTATTCCACATAAATACAGTTCTCCAAATGAAAGAGTTCTTGAAGAGTGAAATTCGAGGTGTGCCGAGGTGAACTTTGAAACGATGAGCAGTCACAGTCCGTCGCGTTATTCTGATATGTACAGCTGTTGGTGGAATCAAATGTGCCAAGTCACTTGAACACCTCATGTGAAAGTATCTATGAAAGACATACAAATCTCCAACTTTTTTTCGATGTCCATCCAAAGGCCACTATTGTTTGTAACATATACCTCCCAGTTCCCTCATTTCCTTCGTTACACAAACATACATAGCTACGCTGATGATACGCAGATATACATGCATTTCGAGGAATCTTCTGTAGATGATAGTTGCCGAAAAATTAATATAGATTTGAAAAGTCTCACTGAACTTTCGGAAAAATACTGTCTTTCTGTGAATGTCAACAAATCGTTTGTCATGCTTTTTGGGAGGTCAGCTACTAGGAAAAAGTGCTTGAATAATATAAGCATCACCATCGATAACGTGTCGTTACCAATAAAAGGCGAAGATGACAATATAAAAAACCTTGGTTTGGTGATAAATCCGTCGGTAAGATTTTCATCGCATGTCTCACTGATTTTGAAAATAGGGTATTGTAACCTCAAAACAATCTACCATAACCGTGAAATACTGAATCGCCAATCTAAACAAATTCTTTGCGACGCACTTGTTTTATCCCATGCAAACTATGCTGTTGTGGTGTACGGTCCTTATCTGTTACAAACCGATAAGAGAAGACTGCAAGTATCACAGAACTCATGCGTCAGATTGATCACTGGTTCGCGGAGACGGGATCATGTGACACATCACTTACCAAAACTGGGTTGGTTCAATATGGAAAATCGGTGTATCTTACTTGCATGTACATTATTTTACAAAATAATAAATCACATGAAGCCTGCTTATCTCTACAACAAACTCAGGTTTCGGACCGACGTTCATAATCGTAATTTGAGATTCAAGAACTTGCTCACGCCCCCTCACCACAAAACTTTCCATTATCGTGGATCGTTTTCTTATTACATAACCTGGCTCATTAACAAATTACCTAACTAACTAAAAAATTCAAATTGTATTATATTCAAGAAGAAAATCGAACATCTTTTTCTCATGAATGAAATTCCTAGCATGCTGAATTTCAAGTGCTAGTATCTATTTTCTTTTTTTTTTCTTTTTCTTGCGTCGACTTCTTTTCTTTTTAATTATAGTATCATACATGCGTTCAATGTGTCTTGCATACCGTTTTATGAAGTATATTTTTAATCGTGTTTGTTTGGTGATATGTTTGCTTGTGTGCACTTGTGTTTATGTTTACATAGGTGCACACATTTTTAGGTTGGATGGAAGAGCAAGGTCTGCTCATGTTGCGATTTCTCCGTAGCATGGTCAGAAATTGAATCGTGCCAATTATTATGTTCTAAACTATCAAGGATTGGACTTTGGTTTCGAGGTTACAACCATATACAGTGTTGAGCAAATCTTGACCATCGAGACGTCATTCAACAATTCTTGACCGATGTTCAGGTTTTTTTGTTCAAAATTCAGCATTTCTGGAACGAACTTCGCTGCCACACATGTCATGCTCCAAACTTCCGTAAGAATGGCATAGCATGAGTCAATTGATATCCTCGGCAACTTCTCCATAATAATTTGCTTTACTTTTCGACCATTTTCATCGGTTGTTGATGTGCTGGAGCCTCCAGGGCAAGCATCGTCATTCACATCTTCTCGACATTCTTGCTTGTTCACACTTTTCTGACTCAGAGTGAAATAACCGTATGCCTCTGTCAACATTTCAAGTGTTCCGATCACTCAATTCCATTTTTCACAAAAAGTTTGATGCATATTTTTTTATAGCAGAAAATCGCCAAATGTAAATACCTAGCGAAAGCTATGTATGATATCGATAGTATCTACAGACTTTGGAGCATTATAAACAGCTAATAAAGTTTGCAATCCACTATCAAATAATCTTTTAACTGGGCAGTTTTCTTCTTCAAATGCTGCGGTTCATCCAAATTAGATAGTTTCTCGAAAAACTTTCTTTATCCTTTTTTAAAAAGAGCGCAGAAGTCGTATCACAGTTACTTGAAGCGTGAAGGAACAACATTTCAAACAAGATTTACTGAATTATTTTCTACTTAAAATGCAATTAACGTAAAAGAGAATACAATTAAAATGTAATTAAAGTATATCCCTTAATGACTTTTTGAAATACAGAAATAAAGATCGGGACAACCAGTTGATTTCAAATAATATTTAATCTGTCCTTGCGCTGCCCTCTATCTCAAAAACGATTCAGCGTATGAAAAAATGTTTGAAACAAAAGTTGTAGAAAATTCAATTTTCCACAATAATGATGATGAATACAATTAGCATAAAACCCATTGGAATCGAGATATTGGCAGAAAACGTGCAAAAAGTTGTTTTTTTTTTACTTTTGACCCCAAATTTTTGAAGTTGCGGCCGTTGAATCATATATGTGAATTTTGAGAATACTTTCATGATGCCAAAATACAAAGTTTATACAGATTTACAGCTGGGTGTGTCAAATTTCCGAAATACAGGCCAAAATCGACCTAAAATGACTGGATAATTAAGTTAACTTGCATGAGAAAAAATGCTGCTCAGAATTCACCACTTTATAGAATGCTCAAAACCTTTAACGAAATTTGCAATGATATTCAATATTTTAAATTTTCAAACGCAGTATGAAAAAAATTTTCATTGATGAGTTGTGATCATTTCTGTAGTCTCTGTCTCTCATGAGAATTATGTTATTCTCCTATTGTCCAATGTAATTTACAAAAAATTTACATTCTTTTTTCTCAAAGCTCACTTGAACTAAAATTATAAAATGGGTTCTCTATTGGATTTGTTAATCTGTTTGTAACTCTCATATTGGTAAATAAATAAATAAACTCAGAAGTAACGATCGTTTTTCCTGTTTCAATTTGATAAAGTTTTCAGACAGTTGTTTTTCAAATGTCAATTATGACACGTTTGTTTCCATGTCATTTTTTTCGTCACTCATACTCATGAGATGATTATTCCAAAACTCATTACATATTCCCGTATTCTCAATCATTATTATATCAATAAGATAGCATGTTGAAGGTTCTCGTTTCAATTATATAGCAAGAAACTCTGTAATTGGAAAGACTCGTTGGAATCCAAATGAATTTCAATTCGTTTTGCATACATAATTCTTTCAGGAATGAAACAGAAACAAAGGAAATGTGAACTTTGTTTTGATTCAAAACTTTGAATTTTCTATGGAATCGGGTTTAGACAATGAACGGGTGAAGTGCTTTCATTTCTTGTAGAAACTTTGCATTTTGAACAAACCAGAGGAACAAACCAATTACATACTTTTGGATAAATATTGAATAAAAGCCTCAGAAATGAACTCACAAACCGAAGATGAATTATCGAATCCGTTATCATCTTTAACTTCAGGTAATTGGTCAAAAATGGTCTAAAGCTGATGAATTAAATGAGCCATTCCCAGTTATGTTTCGTTGTACAATGAAGTACAATGAAATGGGATGAATTCATTGTTTCAATCATTTCATTTTCAGATTTTGAAGATAATGTAGTGAGATCAAGAGGTCATGTTGTTTTTTCGATTGCTATGATGAATTTCATCACGGAATCTTATGTTTTCAAATGTTAATTTTGACATTGAATTTTAATACAATTTTTTTAAGTTTACAAAACAGATCATTGAAATAATACATCACAGCTTCCATTTCTACTCGTACAAGTATTGTATAGTCGAAGTTAACGGTATTGTGCACACTTAAAGTTGTTGGCACTCTCTAAGGCCAAAAAAACAATAAATAGAAATGAACCGGCTGCTAGAGTAGAGAAATTGAATAAAAACAAATGACAATCAACAAATCCAGGAAACTTCTGACTCAATAGTTTTGAATCGATCGAAGATTGTATTGGATAATCTGATAATTTTCAATTGTTATCGTAGATATTCAATAATGATAGTTATTGCCGGAGGAATAGAAATGTTGGTGAAGTCTTCAGGAACATGGAACATACAAGTACTGAACGCGTCTTCTCCAAACTAACAGGTTTCATATTTTATCCAATGGGGTGGGCAGCTAACAGAAAATGCTGTAATCATATATAAAGAATACCATCGACCAAATTTTGTTTTCGAAATATTCATTTATATATCTATCATTGAGTTGTATTTTGTTAAGCTGGATAGTGAAGTCGATTATGCCAGGATCACGAACTCATCATGAAAATCCAAACTGGGACGAAAATCGATGAAAAATTATATGCGGAAAGAAGCAATACCATAATTTTGATTGATGGTTCAGAGATTGACAATATGCATGTCCTATGTTTCACAGAACTGTATTTAAATTACTGTGTTTCTGAAATAAAATTTATTTCATAGGGGAATAATTTCAATGAATGAAATTAGTTTCTCATGAAATATAGTATTCTGATATAATTTCATGTCATGTTAATATTCCGGCTTTGTTGTGATTTTCATGGGTTTTTTGATGAAAGATAGAAAAGATAGAGGTAGAGAACATCAGAATGATTTACAACTTTGAAGATATTTACAGAATTCAAAAGTGGATTATATCAAATCATATTTTGAAATCAATAATTTTAAATAATCGTATGGTCAACAACATTTTTTTTTGTATTATAGTTCTTCCAGGCAAAATCGTCGTAAAATGCGCATATGTATAAAAAGCATAATGGCACAAAATGATGAAAATGTATACAAGAACCACTAATAGAAATACAAGTAAATGTGTATTACAGGAATGAAGGACACGTTGTGGAGATGGTCTTAGATGTGTCTGGCTGCACTAAAAAACATAAATCTGAGGCGGCATCTGAGGAGTGCACTAAACCCTAAGGTAAGACCCTGTAATTTGATATACTTCCTATTGAAGCCATCATTTGAGAGAGTAGAAGCAGAACCTTTACACTCTTTATCCAGTGACAAATTATTTTCAAAAGTGATGCCTGAGTATTTTAATCCACTCATTTCAAGGTTGGTAATGAAAAATCCTATTAAAACTTCCAAGCAAACTATATTCTTTGTTTTATTGGTATGCCAGAAATGTATCTTATTCCAATGTAACTAAGATGGTCTACAGTGACAGGTGTTGAAAAGGGATACAGTATTTCTAGAAACTTCTGTAGATGGCTTCCGAATAAGACCTGCACCCTTGCCTTCTCAAATTAAGAGCTAGTCATTCCAGCTGGGTACATGTGCTGCTTTCTTGCTCCCGATCAAGAAACGGAAAAGGAAACGGTGCAAGAATATTCTGAAGGAACTTGGCATCATGAGGAACAGAAGACGAAGTTTGCATAGTTTTCAAATGAAAATTCAAGAAGTTACTGAAATTTATTCAAGCAAAACGAGATGAGATCCAACAATAAGTTGCTTTTTATGGACACAGTGATAAAACTTAGCAACTTCCATAATATTTCTTGGGACAGTAACGTTTGATTACTCCATTGGTGGACATTTTCATGTATTATTATGGAGAAATATATTTGTGATGAATCTTTCGATTTGCATCACCTGCTCAGGTCACCCCAGATCTCCTTGCGGAGACCAGTGATGAAACCTGGGAAGTAGATAGATTTTGACCTCGGTGCCAAGTCACAAAACCCTTAAAGCGTTCCACTACCTGAGGGGTAGGCAGATTGTGATTGTGTTGTCATCAAACAATTAATCTTTTTCGTAATCTTAAAATTATTTCTGCAATAGGTAGTGGAAATGACAACAGAAATAGAGATTTACATCGATTCAAAAACTTTAGTCTGAAAAATATGTTTATTTGAAGGTGGTTGACAATGTTTCGTGGTTTGACGTGAGACATATTTATAATGTTTATGAGGTTCTCCAAACACTTCAGTCATGAAAAAATGAATGTGTCCCAAAGCAAACGTGAATAAGAATAAGAATGTATTTTGAAATATTCATTTTCTCAATTACATTTAAATTATTTCAAATAATTTTTCTGATAAGTTTACATCAATTTCGGTCTACTTGCAAAGGTATTACATAAACATCACGTGGTCGATGTTTAACAAAATGTTTACTTGTATATCACGAAGCAAAACTAAATAAAATTCCCCGCCTATTCAGCAGGAGTCTACATCAAAACAACACAACTCGCAAGCATCACCATGGCAACTATTGCTGGGGGTTGACCGTGGCGCCTCTGGATTTCTCCACGAGGCCACTACTTGAAATCCTCGGTGGCTCAAAGGTAATGGTTCGAAGTTATTACAAAGAAAAGTTTTCATTTAATGCCAGATCAAAGTAGAAATTGAACATATTTATTATTGGTACACTGATTGTTTTTCAATTGTTTCATAATTGAATATTTACCTTCGAATAATTCAGAAAGAAAATCAAAGAGTGGAAAATGCCTCAGTTTCGGTCATTAGAATTGAAAATAAGGAGGGGAACTAATTGTTCATCACTTACCTCAAGTATTTTCATTTTGTTATCTGTAGTACATTGGAGGATATACAAGGTGGATTATTGAAGATCAAATAAAACCTTTCGAATTTACTTTTGAGGGAGAAACATTTTCACTTTGACACTCCCACCCTCGCGGCAAAATGCCCCCTAGAGTTTTGAATATAATTGGGAGACAAGTGGTATCTCTTCAAAACGACATTAATTTTCCTTTTTCAAGCTACCTACTTTCTGGAATTTAAAGCAGTAGATAACGAGGAATAATGCTATAAGTTAATGGCAAGTCAACATTAAGGAAGTTACTTTCAATGAACTACTAACCGCACATATTTTACACTAGTTTTGCTGAAAAAAAGGTCATTCATTCTAAACACAGGTTCACTTACTCGAACAAGTTTTCAAAATGTTATACTTTTGTTATCTGTTCAAATCTGCTTTGATACTGAAGGTAGTAGTTAGCATTAATATTTCATTCTGGTTATAGGGATCATTGTCTACCTCTGTTTTTGAAATTGAGAATAATACTGTTACCCACATCATTTTTGTACAACGTTCTCATAGAAATTCATAAAAAATTAACTTCAATTATCAAGCAATCAGACTTTCATGACTATGATACCAGACATTGTAACAAATTCCGTACAAACCGCTATCGTTTGAGTAAATCATAAAAGAACGCACTGAATTTCAACCTCCACAACTATCTTCCCGATATATTCAAAATTCTTAGTATGTCCAATTTCAAGAAAACAATAAAAAAATATCTTTTGAGTGTTTGCTGCTATTCTGTCGAAGAATACGTGAATCAATGTTTATAATGTCAATGTACAAACTCAATTTTGTTTCTATATTTTTGTATTTATGTTCTTCGTTTATTTTTATAATATTTCGATTGTTGACAAATTACTTTCATGCTATTTTTTGACTTGCTACAAACATTTTATTATGTAACGACACGAAATGAGAAACGTAAATACAAATAATAATTTGTGATTACATATACAGAGAGTAGATAAATAATTGAATTTAATTGATCTGTTGTTTATTATCATGTCCAATGAGCAAAAGTTGACATTACTGACTATCATAGATATAACTTTAATATTCGTATTTGAATTTTCTAATACTGAATCTCTTTAATTGTTCGGGCAATAAATTATAGAGTTTTACATCACCAAAAAGAAATGATCTCTGATCATTTTAGGAGTTAAAAATACTTTCTTATGTGACTAACACCACTTTCAGCTTTTCTTCCATTAGTTAACCATAATGAGAATGATTTTCATTCACATCGACTCATAATATATACTTTCCGTGGATAATTGACCCATTACCTCCTTAGATCAGCACTTTGGTCACTTTGAAGGAATTTTGCTATGTACGGAATTACATTCTGAACAACAGATATATGGGGGTGAATTTATGAAGAGCAAAACACCCTGTAACTACATAGTAATATATCCAAGTAGAACTGGGATCTCTGGCGTAGTATGAATCCAAGACAAGCAGATACAATCTAACGTCAACAATAGATCAAAAAGAGGACAAATTAATTTGCAGGTAGTAGTTCCACTAGTTAATTACCAAAAAATCAATTAGGTAATCATCATTTAACAAACAAAGTTTACATCGGAACAAAAACTTCNGAATCTGATATCATTCACAGGATTCCTACACAATATACCAAATGAAAGGTAAAAATTTCATTTATATGGAATACTGTCATCCTCACTGGTAGACATCGATGTTTTGCCGTAAGACACTTGCCTTAGGGCTCTTCAGTACCAATCTGGATAACATTATAAGAAAAAACACACAATTCATTCTCTTTTTTTGTATCAAGGTGAAGTAGTAGTAAGCCAAAGAGTTTTTTTCCAGTATGTAATATGTAACAATAGCTCATATGATATTTTATATAACAAAAAAGTCTTCTGAAATTAGTGAACCGCATTGTGTGACAAACCATATGCAATCCCAGCAGTCAACATCTAATATGCCATGGAAAGTCTAGGAATCAGACTGTCCGATACACTTCTCTGTCCGCATGAGTCGTTTGCTCTTTCCGACCAACCCAAGGCTTTCAGTTCTCACATAACTTCCTTATTAGCTAAGACACTAACCTTAATATTTTGATGGAAATTCGTTACCTAAGCGATTTCAACCAATTTCCATAACTCTTCTATGGCCCGCTGAAATGTCGCCACTTGTGCTCTTTTTCTCGATAGAGTGGCCATTAATTTGCGCCACACGCCCTGTTGTGGCGGACGCTCTCGACTCTCGAAATTGTCGCAAGCGGAGGACTCATGATAAAGAGGATTACTAGATTGCTTTAATTACACCTGCTGGGATGGGTTTCCGAGGGCTGCGGTGCGACGGGAGCAAAACAATTGCTTTTGTTATCATTCGTAGGGAAACACCCAGAATAAATCGAGGGGTACCCAGAATTCAGATCGGATTTTCCCGCTTAAAGTCACTCTCCGGTTGAAACAATTATCCCTTCTCCACTTTTCCGATGGAAATCAAATTTGTTTATCTCTCTTGAATAATTCTGAATCATTATGAAGATTCATTCATGGAAATTGAAATTGTAAATGGCTTTTGTTATTCAGAGGAGTACACCAAGGGTACATTTTTGGACCGCTATTGTTTGATATTCACATCTCACTTCTCACTAAAAAACGAAGTATTTTCAAAAAGCAAGGCTACGGTAACAATACAAAAAAGTGTATTTCTTTCCCCTAGTCAAAATGAGTACAAGAATAAAAGACGTTACATGCCCAAAACAAGTAGGTACTTTCCCCAAACAACAGAATTGCGACGCGTGTTTCACCAACCAAGTTGGCATCTTCAGAAGTTTTACTTTTAATGATATTAATTGTAATGATATTAGCCGATACTAGATAAAATGAAAATCCATAAAGTATTCAAGTAACACTTCAATGTAAGATTTTCACTGAACACTTTACGAAACCATTACACGTGTTTTAATCTCAGGCGTATTCTCAAGACGTGAGAGTATAAGAAGTATAAGAAGGCCTGTTAGACATCGTAGTTCATCCCTACTGTAGTCCAACAACTGTTTGGTATCAAGCTTCGAAGGGTGAATAAACATCTTGGAGTGGGTCAATCCTGGAAGATTCTGTCAGAAGTCCATAAATCTGTTTGCCACCCAGGTCTTCAAACTTGATTTGGCAAAGCCTAAAGCGATGCCAGTGACAGATTCTGGTCCGATGAAGCTGCTTGCAGCACCCTTCTTTGCAAGGGAGTCAGCAGCCTTCCCGGCCAGTATGGCCAGAAAAAAAATACCTAATGATGAGAGCGAAACAATTACTTGGTAATCATTTGATGAGAAACACCCAGAAGAAATCAGGGATACCTAGAATTTGTATCGGATATTTCCTCTTCGAATACTCCGATTGAAATAATTATGACGTCTCTACTTTTCCAGAATATCAAATTCATTTATCCCTTTCAAATAACACTGAATCATCATAGAGAGTTTTTCACCAATACTAAAGTAATAAGTGACTTGCGGTGTGAAAACATCATCAGGTATTAGATGTATGAACCACAAGGCTACGCTGATGATCCCAATGTGTATTTTTCCCCAACAAAAATTAATAGACGTTGAACGATGTTGAACAGTGATTCCTAGTTTTTTTCATTTTTCAACTTGATAAAATTTTGTGGCGTGGTATTTGCACCCCAAATGTTTTTCGATACCAAAATCAATATTACATGCCTGTTTACTGTCTGTATGACAAAAAACTTACTTCACGCATATTACCAGAAGAATAATAATTAAATGAAGAAATGAGACAAGAGGTTCACACATTTTTCAATGATATCAAAAATAAATTTCCAGAAATAATTTGACAGCTGAACATTAGATTATTATAATTTCAACGTTATCACCACGTTTTTCAAAATACCACAACCATCACGATTTTCCAATTTTGATTGTTATTTCTCCTAGTCCCCTCTGTTTATCAAAATTCAACATCCTGATTAGCATTATTCACTACCATAACAAAATAAGTGAACACGCCTAGTAATATCGTTTTTACTCCAATAAACCGTGCTTTAACTTCCACTCCATATCTTGCCTAATTCAATTTACCAGCTCCTCATATTCACCAGATTTTTCACAGCATTCGTTTTTCACAGCGTTCGTCATTACAACTTCCAGTTAAGTTAAGTTGTAATTTTAACTCGATATGATGATTTCAGGTCTATTAGACCACGAGCCCATGTTTGATTCTTGGGATCATATGATACCTCTCCAAAATTAATGAATTATTTCAGTCCTAGAGTTAAAAATTGATTTCAGTGTCGTCATCAGTTTTAGATGATGCATGTGTAAATTTTGTTAAAGTGAAAACAATAACTCAACTTATATCATATTAATCATATTAATCATGACTACTAACCAAAAGCTGTAAAAAAATGGGCAAACTTCTATCCTAGAATTAGGGTTTCAGCCCTGTAGATTTAGCAATCGTCAATTATAACTTATAGGGTCTTTCATATACCGCTTCCTTATCTTTGAATTCAAATGAAAGAAAGTGAGTGAGTTGACATCGAATTTTCTTATTCATTTGAAAGACTAATTAATCAATGTCATTATGAGTCTGGCGTATAAATCAGGCTGAATTTAACCGTTGGCATGGGTTTATATTTGGCTTTGAGAACCGCTGTGGTTTGTGGCTTATTCACATTGTTAGATATCGGATCATGTATGAAAACAAAGGTTTTTATTGTACACTTTTTTACAGGAGCTATCGAATCGTGGGAAACGGAGTTCAGTTGTGGTTTGGTTTTGGAATTAGGAATATATGTATAGTTGTGAGCCGGAAGCGTTTTATTTCATTCTAATACATAACACACATACACCTGCGAATTAGGAAAACCCTACAAGAAAAAGTCTAACGGGGTTGAATCGCACGATTTCGTTGGCCATTTCACATCAGATCCACCTGAGATGACCATGCTCCCAAATCGCTCGTGCAGAATATCCAATGTGGCATGAGCTGTGTGGCACGTAGCGCCGTCCAGCTGAAACCACAGATCATCCAATTCAGGCCAAAAGAAGTTGGTAATTATCGACTCATTATGCTTGTAGAGTCCAGAAGAAAAAACTACCCGTTCAACTCCGGTTCTCTCAGTTCAATGGAAATTATCAAATGAGTATCTACTGTTCGTACAGCGATTACTGCAAACCCCAACAACAATACGAATCATCGGCAAAAACTTTTTTACTTTCTATTGACGTTAGTACATTGACAACTCTCTTGACAGACATAGTATTTTCAATATAAAAGAGTATTATACAGGGTGGTTTGTGGCAAAACTTAAAATATATTTCTCAACATTTTCGTAACAGTCTCACACCTGAGAAATATTATTATTCGTAATATTATTTCTCACATAACATCAATTATTAAATCTGGCAGGTTTTTTCGAAATTCTTCCACTACGCGTTTTCATAACGGAATCGGGTACTCTGCTTTTTGACACTCCCGATTCGCCCGAATGCACTTGCGGAACACTATCGTAATCGGATACTCTGCTTTTTGATTTCACTCCCGTACTATCATCTTCTTCCACTGGAAGACATGGCGACTGGGATTCTTCTGCAACATGTTCCGATCGTGATTTCAAAGAAACATCCGGATCCAAGCATTCCAAAGGATACAGCTTCTGTACTGGTCGAGGAATTAGACCATTCTCAGTTTGAACCCGAACCAGGCGAAATACACCATCTTTTCCGGGTGAAAGTTCAATAATTCGAACCATTGACCACTCAATGCGCTTCTGATTGTCGTTACCCACCAGAACAATCTCACCAAGGAGGACAGTTCGTGATATCTTATTTGATGCAATTTTCAGCGTTCCCAAATATTCATCTCTAAATCGTCGACGCAGATCATCGCTCAATTTCTGTTTGTGTCTCATTTTACGACAGAGAGACTTTCTGTATATTTGATCACAATCAGGCATACGATACTCATTACCAAGATCATTTAAAAACATAGCAGGAGTCAAGGCAACTAGATCTGCTAGATCGTTAGATACGTAAGTAATTGGTCTACTATTTACTACAGCTTCACACTCGCAAACCAAAGTTGTTAAATCTTCATAGTCCAGGGAAGCCCGACCCAACACATTTCGGAGAAGAGTCTCTACAACACCAACTAAACGTTCCCAGAACCCACCCCACCATGCGGCTGTCGGAGGGTTGAAACGCCAAATAATGCGCTGCGATAAACACTGTTCCGAAATTTTAGACCAGTTAAGTTTTCGAAGAGCATTTTCTAGACCAACGAAACATCTACCGTTGTCACTATAAATTTTCTTAGGCCGACCTCTGCGAGCAACGAAACGTCTCAAAGCCAACATAAAAGCATTAGTTGACAACGAAATAGTTAGTTCGAGGTGTACCGCACGATAAACGGTACAAGTGAATAGACAAATGTAAGCTTTGTCTCCGATCGATCGATCGATTGGTAATGGTGTGGAGTTAACAGTCAACTTTTTTGCATTGAATTTCCTACACGTGAAGCATTTAACGATTACAGATCGAACGGCATGACGTCCACCTAGTACCCAATACCGCTCTCGAAGAATGCTCAACAATCCTTGAGTTCCTACATGACAAGACCGTACGTGCTCCTGAAAAATGATTTGATGAACTGCAGGCTGTTTAGCAGAAAGTAAAATAGGAAAACGAAAACTCTCGGAGTCTGTACGAGATTATACTCTAGATTTAAGACGAATAAACCCATTTTCATTACAGAAAGGAGACAGACTGATGATGGTTTTGTCCTTTTCTTTGTCTGGAAAAGTTTCTTCTTGAACAATTTTCAAAATGAATATTGCAGCGGCGTTTAATTCTTCGCAACTCAATGGCCCACAATTCCGACTAGCTTTTTTAGTTTTCAGATCGAATATAAATCTGAAGACAAGAGCCACTAGCTTTACCGTTTGGAAAAATTCGGAGAAAACAGTTGAATGCCAAAAATCAGAGCAATCATTATCAAGAAGTGTAGTGATCAACTTTTTCTTACGCTAACTTTAGACCTCTTCTCCATTGCAGTTGACAATGCCACTAGGCTACTTATCTGGCATTTCATAGAGCCATGCTGGCCCCTCCCACCATCTCGAGCGTAGTAAAATTTTTGGAGAACAACCACGTGATGGAAGGTCTGCAGGATTGTGAATCCCAAGAATATATCTCCATGCATCTGAAGGAGTTAAACTACGGATTTCAGCAATTCTATTCCACACAAATGTGGCCCATTCTTCCTTTCTTTGTATCCAGGAGATTACCGTAGACGAATCACTCCAGATATAGCTCGTTATTTGTTTGAATTCCAAATTATCTATGACATTCCTGAACAATCTTGCGCCAATTGTCGCTGCAAGTAACTCTAGCCTTGGAATTGTCAAAATTTTCCCTTTCTTCTGTATAGGAGCCAATCTAGACTTCGCCGCTAGGAGATGGACAGATACTTGTTGATTCTTAACAACACGTAGAAATATAACTGCAGAATAGGCTGTGTTACTGGCATCACAGAACGTATGAATAGAGCAAACGAAATTAGAAGTTGGAGCAATATCTATCCATCTAGGTATAGCTATTTCTAGTAGACTAGGTAGTTCATGAAACCAATTTCCAAATTCAACAGATGTGTCTTCATCTACAGGCTCGTCCCAGGTAAGGTTCTTATTCCACAATTCTTGTAACAGCAATTTTGGAACCAATGTAGAAGGGCACACAAAGCCTATAGGATCAAAGATATGTTGAGCCATTGACAAAATTATTCTTTTGGTAATGTATTCTTCTTGTGAGATCACTTCTTTGTGGCAGCTTGGATTAATATTCAGTGTATCTCGTACTGGATCCCACATCAATCCCAATACGGGCACAAGTACAACATCTTCATTGTTGTAGTTACTGTCGTTTCTAGTGAACTCCCACCCTCTTGAGTCAAACTTACCCTCTGCCATAATCATAGTGGCTTCTTGCGAAAACATATTGAGTGTCAATTCATCAGAAACACTTGTAATGCAGTTGTCGATATAAAATCCTTTATTTGCCAGCTTCAATATTACTTCACGGGAATATCTCGTGTTGCCACTTTCAGTCCTTCTTAACATTTCTTCAAGGTGATGTTCAATGGTTGCTCCTAAGAGAAAATGGCTGGAATTAACGCCGAAAACAACTCTACAGTGGCAAAAGGTCAACTCATTTTCATCTTGATCAACCCATAAGAAGCGAAGAACATCTCGATCTCTCTCGTGAAGACTAATTTGCAAGAATGCCTTCCGGATATCTGAAACTACTCCAAACTTGTACTCTCTAACTTTAAAAAATTCGCTAATTTGTGGTCTGCGAAAGGCAGAGTTCTTGTGAGCGACGTGAAATCGACTGCATCGAATTTTCGGATGTTGGTCTAGTGTTCCTGAACAGAACATTCATTTCGTATTTCATTCATTCAGAAAGTAATAAAATGATTTTATTACTTTCTGAATAAATGACACATAATTTGACAGATGTGGCTTCAACAAGATGACAGTTATCAATTGTCAAAATCCCTGTTGAAAGACTATATCAATGAAAAATAAATTCACTCTTCCCTTATGGTGAGTAGTACTCTATCAGGTTATTATTTAATCCCTCTTCTCAATTGTCTCATATTTTTATAAAACGGACATATACGGGGCATTTTGGTCTTTACCTACTTATATCTAGTTGTTATTAATAAAAGTTTATGCATTCCCTACAACTAAACACGCACCAACAAAATACAGGATAACACACGTAATATACGAGGAGCCTTCAAATATTTGATTTTGTGACAAGAGTAAAGTACTCTTATTTTGAAAAGACATGGGAAATGTTATTTATAAAAGTTGTTGAGCATTGAAAAATACATCTAGATTTGAAGTCATGGGCATCTGAGTGAAGTTTTATTTTTTCACCTATTTTTTTAAATGGGGACTACGAAAAAAAATTTTTGCTAAAACGATAAATAGACAGCATCCTGTATAAGACGGTTCATTTTGAAAGCCTGTAATATTACAAATTACACAAGTATGGTGTCAACCATGCTCAATTTTTTGAAAAGTAAATTAATTTTCAGTTTTTGGTGCAAAGTTATTTTTATTATTTGTTAACACCGAAAATTACTCAAAATTATACAGTATTGTAACAAAAACTAAATATTCAATAATATCAAATCACAAAACATCAAAATAAAAAAGGTATTTCGAAACAAACTCATTGATTTTCTGGAGATTCAACTTTAAACACAAACTTGGACAAAAAAATCTCCAGGATATCAATGAGTTTGTTTTGAAATATCTGTTTTATTTTGGTGTTTTGTGATCTGATATTATTGGATATTAAGTTCTTGATAAATGCTGTACAATTTTGAGTAATTTTCGGTGTTAACAAAAAATAAAAATAACTTTGCACCAAAAACTTTGAAAATTATTTTACTCTTCAAAAAAATTGACCGTGGTTAACACCATAGTTGTGTAATTTGTAATATTACAGGCTTTTAAAATCAACCGTCGTATACAGGATGCTGTCTGTTTATCGTTTTAGCATTTTTTTTTTCGTAGTCCCCATTTTAAAAAATGGGGAAAAAAATAAAACTTCACTTAGATTGCCATGACTTCAAATCTAAATGTATTTTTCAAGAGTACTTTTGTCACAAAATCAAATATTTGATGGCTCCTCGTGTATTACGTCTGTTGTCCTGTATTTTGTTGGTGCATGTTTAGTTTTAGGGGATGCACAAACTTTTATAAGGAATAACTTTTT